TTTTATATTTTAACCAAAAATGGGTATTCTATTGTGTATTTTTGCGCTAAAATTCATTTTATTATATTTTTTTCCTAAACATTTGCCTTAATAAACAGTTTCACAAATATCATGTGACATAAAAATGTGCAAATATCACCTATTTTTTTTCTACAGGGCCTCTTCTTTCAAAAATGTAATGCTCTGGGGGGTTTAAGTTATTTTATTGCCAAAACTTTTTATTTTTTTACATGTATGCAAAAATTGAAAACAAAATTGCCCTGGAGCTTAACTGGTTAATTGCTAAAAATTTAGATTTTTTTACATGTATGTAAAAAATGTAAAAAAAAAAATGCTCTGGAACTTAGCTGGTTAACGCTGCTTTTTCGCAGGCAGCATTAAGAGCCCTGTCACACTCACCTCTTGCGTAACCTAAGACTTCTGGAGCTCTGACCGCCAGCTAATGAGGAGTGACGTTGCGTCCGGGCATGTCACCCCTCCCATCCACCGCACGAGGATCTAAATCTGGGAAGGCCTGCTGCGTAGCTGACGGATGGACAGACAGATGGCAGTGAGTGTGGCCATTCATCTAAGTTTTGCCTAAGGCCTCACAAAGCCTAGAGCTGCCGCTGACTGACATCTCCAGTGACACTAATACAGTGATCAGTGCTAACAATATACACTGTCACTGTACTAATGGCACTGGCTGGGAAAGGGTTAACATTTAGGGGCAATCAAGGGGTTAAGTGTGTGTCTAACAATGTTTACTATGTGTGCTGATTTAACATGAAAACAAAGAGGGCACAAACGCCGAGCACATTACCTTAAAGCGGAGTTCCACCTGAAAAAAAAAAAAAGTCAGCAGCTACAAAAACTGTAGCTGCTGACTTTTAAAATATGGACACTTACGTACCTGTCCCTCGGTCCAGCGATGTCCTCACACCACGGCTGGTTTTCTTCTCTCCCTGGCGCCGGCATCTTTAGTGTGGGCGGCCGGCTGTGACAACTTCTGTCTTCACAGCTGGGTGCCCACTGCACATGTGCGAGAAGTGCTGCGCTTTGTGAACGGCCCTGTAGTCTTCTGGGACCTGTCACGGGGAGGGGAGGGGAGGGGGGGACAACTTCTGCTTCTAATTGTCTAGGCAGTGGGAGCGGGTACCTATCGAATTTGTGCACACCGCTTCCCTCCCCCCTTCCCACTCTCCAAAGGTGCCAATCCTTAATGGGGAGTGGGGGACAAAGGCTTAAAGGGGAATTTCCCCTTTTGGGTGGAGCTCCGCTTTAATACAATTTATTTATAATAATGGATGCGGCTGCATAAACACACAATGTGGACGGCTCTCCACCTCCAACTGAAGATGGTATTAGCTGCTGATGCGTTTCAGGAACCCTGTCCTCTACCTCAGAGCAAAGGCCTTTGTCTTCAGTTGGAGGTGGAGAGCAGTCTACATTGTGTGTTTATGCAATCACATGCCAATTACCCATTTGGTTTGCGAGTAATAACTTTGTCTTTTATTTTCAATAACTTATTTTAAGGTAATGCGCTAGGCCAGGGGTGGGCAAACTGCGGCTCTCCAGCTGTTGTGGAACAACATTTCCCATGAGGCATTGCAACATTACAAAACTGACAGATACAGCTATGACTTGGAGAGGCATGATGGAACCTGTAGTCCTGCAACAGCTGGAGAGCCGCAGTTTGCCCACCCCTGCGCTAGGCGTTTGCGCCCTCTTTGTTTTCATGTTTTTGTGCATTGTTGGATTTCCCCGGTCTGAAGAGGGCTGCGCCGCCATTTATTTCCAGTCCTGGTTGTGAAAAGTCCACCTAGAGGGATGGCATCCATTTCTGAGCGCCAAGTGTCAAGTTTGACAATCTTTTTGCTTGCTATGTTGCTGATTTTACTAAGCAATGTGTTGTTTTTTGCTCCCTGCAGAAATAATCCCGCTCAGCCTTCTGAGCGGGATAATCCTTCTGTCATTCGCTCAGCCAATTAATGGGGTCCAGGCCATAAATCGTTGGCCGGGAACGCTGATTGACTTGTGTTGTAGAGAATGAAAGCTCAAGTTTCTGGATCTGGAAGAAAGCTGCAACATACAAGTACATTGCGGTACCTGTATGAGCCGACCTGCTGCAGTATATGGACTGCGGTGGATTGGCAAGTGATTACAAAATCCTTTAACCCCTTTCTGCCCTCCCCGGAGTCCCTTTAACCAGTTCAGCGCCACCCTATAACAGAAATACTGCTACAGGTGCACAAAATCATGTATATATATATGTGGTTTTGCAGTTCCAGGTAGGGGGCGTGCGCGTGCCCTACCCACGCCACCATTCACCGGCCTTGGCTGTCAATCACCGGGTCCCGGCCGGTGATTACTCACCGGCGCCCGGTATGAAAACAACACAGATCTCTCCCCTGTTTGCTCCTGCACACTGCTTTGTATGGCTCTGCATAGTAGTGTGCTTACAGTGAAGCACACACACAGCCCCCCATAGTGAAACAGCACACAGTTAACCCTTTGATCGCCCCACATACTAACCCCTTCCTGCTCAGTGCCATTAGTACAGTGTCAGTGCTTTTTATTAGCACTGATCACTGTATTTTTGTCACTGGGGATGTCAGTGACACCAAGTCAGTTTCCCCCCAGTATCAGAATTCCTGCCGCAGTCCCACAGTCGCTGATCACTGCTATTACTAGTAAAAAAGAAATTCCAGTATATATTCTGATCACTGCATTAGTGTCATTGGGATGTCCGTGGAAGTTAGTTCCCACCCAGTGTTGTGATGTTTTAATTGGAATAATTTTTTGGACATGTTTTATGGCAGAAAGTAAAAAATATTGGCGTTTTTTTTTCAAAAATGTTGGTCTTTTTTTGTTTATATCACAAAAAAAATAAAAAAAAAAAAAACCCAGTACCGATCAAATACCACCAAAAGAAAGCTCTATTTATTTGAAAAAAATTATATAAATTTCAATAAGGTACAGCGTTGCATGACCACGCAATTAACAGTTAAAGTAGTGCAGTGCTAAACAGCAACTAATTACCTGACCATGAAGAGGGTAAAAACTTCCTGACCTAAAGTGGAGCTCCACCCAAAAGGGAAAGTCCCGCTTTAACCACTTCCCTACCGAGCACTTATACCCCCTTCCTGCCCAGGGCAATTTTCAGCTGTCAGCGCTGTCGCACTTTGAATGACAATTGTGCGGTCATGCAACACTGTATCCATATGAAATTTTTATAATTTTTTTTACACAAATAGAGCTTTCTTTTGGTGGTATTTAATCACTACTGAGTTTTTTATTTTTTGCTAAATAAAACAAAAAAACACCTGAAAATTTTGAAAAAAAATACACTTTTCTTCGTTTCTGTTATAAAATTTTGCAAATAAATAACATTTCTTGATACATTTAGGTCAAAATGTATTCTGCTACATTTCTTTGGTGAAAATAATTTTTTTTTTTGTTTTTTTTCTTTTTTTTTTTTTTTTCTTTTTGCTTTTTTTTTTTTCTTTTTTTTTTTTTTTTGTTTTTGTTTTTTTTTTTTTGTTTTTTTTTTTTTTTTTTTTTTTTTTTTTTTTTTTTTTTTTTTTTTTTTTTTTTTTTTTTTTTTTTAATAATAATTGAATTTTTTTTTTTTTTTCAAATGTTTCTATTATTTATTTATTTTTTTATTGCATATTTTCTATTTTTTTACTATTTTATTTTTCAGCACAATGTGACCCAACCAATACAATGTTACCATAGTAACATTGAACTACTCTGGGCAAGTGATCAGGATTTTTTTTTTAACACATTATGATTGCTAATACCGATGTATTTCATTGATGTTTGCAATCATTATTACTGAATGAAACTGATTCTTTCAGTCTTTTGTTGTGATTGGCTGTGATTGGGCAAAGCTCATCACATGATACAAATGGGCTGTGATTGGCCTTGTCTGTATCATGTGACTGCCTTGACCAATCCCAGCTAACAACATCATTGTATACAATGGACGACATGACAGGAAGCCATCCATTGTATACAATTGACATGTGATCTGCTGTAATTGGTCACAGCGGTCACATGACACTGGCTACGGGCCGGTGTAGTGATATGTCATCGGATGTGTCCCGTGGACACAGCCGATGACAGATCACACCGCTGAGTGGCCCCTCAGCCACGTGAGCGACTCGTTTTGACAGGACGTCATATGACGCCCAGTCACAATGGCGTCAATCTCCTATAGGCCGGCCGGGAAGGTGTTAAGGATTGGTTCTCGGCTCTCTGTAAGGAATTGGCACCTTGGGGCAGCGAGTACCTGATTATGACAGGTAACCACTCCTACTTCCGCTCTGACTAGGCAATCGGAAGTGGAAAATACTCTCCCTCTGGATCCTCCTCTTCTCTAGCGCTCCTGGCTCCTCCCTCCTGTCGGGTGCCCCCCACACTAAGCAGCTTGCTATGGGACTACCTGATGCTCTGTGTATCCATTCACACGGAGCCGCGGCTCGGCCCCACTCCCTCTCTCTTCTCATTGGCTCACTGACTATGATTGACAGCATTAGGAGTCAATGGCTCCCACTTTTGTCTCAGCCAATGAGGAGAAGGAGTCCCGGGATAGCCGGGACTCCAGTGCTCATCGCTGGATCGAGAGGGGGCTTAGGTGAGTATTAGGGGGGACTGGAGGTGCTGCTACTGCACAGAGAAGGTTTTTTACCTTCATGCATAGAATGCATAAAGGTAAAAAACCTTGAGTCTTGGTTCACATATATGCATTTTGCGTTTGATGCTTTCTCTAGTGCTTTTTGCAATTTGTTTTGCCTTTTTTCTACACGTTTTTGACGCATTTTAATGCGCTTTTACTGCGTTTTGCATTTTGTTCAGCTTTTCTTTTTTTTTTTTGTTAAATACCTTCTGCCCACCCTATAGTACAACGACAGGCGCAAGGTGGTTCTCTCATTCTGATAGGATGTCATATGACATCCTACATTTCTCACTGGGCATGCGCGGCTCACAGAGTGCGCAGTGCGGCGATCGCCGATCCACTGTGTCCCTCAGACATAGCGGATCACGGAAAGAGCCGAAGATGTCAGCTCGGTCATGTGATCAGCTGTGTCCAATCACAGCTGATCACATGTAAACACGGAAATGCCGGTTATTGGCATTTCTCTCCTCTCGAGCTGTCACACTGACAGAGGAGAGGAGAGCCGGTAATCGGCTTTCTGCGGAGGGGTCATGTACACTGATCATCAGGGCACTGATGATCAGTGTGCCCTGATGATCAGTGTGGGCCCAGAAGTGCCACCTGTCAGTGCTCATCAGTGCCAGTGCCCATCAGTGCCACAGCAATGCCATATATCAGTGCATACCAGTGCACATCAATGCCACATATCAGTGCATACCAGTGCACATCAATGCCACATATCAGTGCCCATCTGAGCTGCCTTTCAATGTCACCCATCAGTGCCAGTCAGTGCCACCTATCATTGCTGCCAATCAGTGCCACCTATCAGTGCCAGTCAGTGTTGCCTATCAGTGTCAGTCAGTGCCACCTATCAGTGCCAGTCAGTGCCACCTATCAGTGCCAGTCAGTGCCGCCTAACAGTGCCAGTCAATGCCGCCTAACAGTGCCATATATCAGTGTCATGTATCAGTGCTGCCTTTCAGTGCCCATCAGTGATGCCTGTCAATGCCCATCAGTGCAACCTACCATTGTCTCCTCATCAGTGCCCATCAGTGCCACCTATCAGTGTCCATCAGTGCAGTCTATCGGTGCCCATCACTGCGGCCTCATTAGCGCTCATCAGTGAAGGAGAAAAATCACTTATTTACAAAATTGTATAACAAAAACTAAGAAAAACGTTTTTTTTTTTTTTTAATTTTCAGTGGTTTTTGGTTTGTTTAAGAAAAAATAAAAATCCCAGAGGTGATTAAATACCACCAAAAGAAAGCTCTATCTGTCTCAAAAAAATGATAAAAAATTAATATGGGTACAGTGTTGCATGACCGCGCAATTGTCATTCAAAGTGCGACAGTGCTGAAAGCTGGAAATTGGCCTGGACAGGAAGGGGGTATAAGTGCCCGGTAGGCGAGGGGATAAAGTGGATTATTTTTTTGTCGCTGGGCAGAATAAAAATGCCAAATGCAAAATGTGGCAAAAACACACTACCATGCATTTCAGCAGCTTCTTTGTTGAATTCTATTGTAGGAAAAACGCTGCTTTTTGCTTTTACAAAAAAAGTCCCTGACCCCAATGGCGTCCCGAGGCAGGTGCGGGATGTGCGGTCCGCACCGGGTGACACCGACCGCACGGGGTGATACCGGACCCGCTCCACAAAAAGGTAAGTTGTAAAACAAGCCGACGATCCCCGCAGGATGGATCCGATCCATCCTGCGGGGATCCTCGGCTTTCTTTACAACTTACCTTTTCTTGGAGCGAGTCCGGTGTCACCCCGTATTGGTTGCATGCGGACGATATTGCGGGGTGACACCAGTGTATCGGCAAGATGTGTCTCCCATGCAGATATGTCCCCCTGAAGCCACTGCGCATGTCCTGGTTTCAGGCACGATCAATCGATGATAGAACTACTGCTATCATCGATTGATCGTGCCTGAAACCGGGACATGCGCATTTGTCCCGGACCCGTTCCAAGAAAAGGTAAGTTGTAAAGCAAGCCGACGATCCCCACAGGATGGATCCGATCCATCCTGCTGGTATTGTCAGCTTTCTTTACAACTTACCTTTTCTTGGAGCGGGTCCGGTGTCACCCCGTATAGGTTGCATGCGGACGATCCTGCAGGGTGACAACAGTGTATCGGCAAGATGTGTCTCCCATGTAGATATGTCCCCCTGAAGCCACTGCGCATGTCCTGGTTTCAGGCACGATCAGTCGATGATAGAACTACTGCTATCATCGATTGATCGTGCCTGAAACCGGGACATGCGCAGTTGTCCCGTACCCGTTCCAAGAAAAGGTAAGTTGTAAAGAAAGCCGACAATCCCCACAGGGTGGATCGGATCTACAGATTGAGCATAATGGATCCAAGTGTTGCTGACACCATCCCTAGGGACGCCTCAGCCTGACCCTTTCCAAAAACGCAGCTGCTAAAAAAGGACAGATGTGAACATGTCCCATAGGAAACCATGATAAATGAACTGTAGTGCGTTTCTGCAAAAAGTACTAAAAAGACGTGTGAACGGAGCCTAAGATGCCAGCGCCGGTGAGAATGGGCGGCCGGTGAACTTGGCCGGTAGGAACGCACCGCTGGTTCGTAGGACAGGTAAGTGGCTGCTTTTTAAAAGTCAGTAGCTACAGTTTTTGTAGCTGCTGACTTTTATACTTTTATTTTTTTTTTCAGGTTTGACTGGAGCTCCATTTTAAGTGGTTAAAGGAATTTTTGAATTGTGCCTACAAGGAAAATCTAAAGGAAATAAAGTGATGCTAAGGCAGTATTAAAGAATCATGGTTTTGCTTTTAAAAGTAAAAGATATATTTCTCTTCGGATGTACTCGGAGATATTCATTGCGGCCCTGAACCGCAGACCATGTGCAAGATCACATCTACGCCGAAAGTTCACAGAATTTATTTTTTGGCTAAAAGGCAAATCCCCCTTCAGTATAAACAAAGGCCGTATAAAAATCTATTAGCCTGAAGTTACATTCTACATCATCATCTTTTCTCGTAATAACTAATATTTTACTTTAATCACTCTACAAAAAGTGAATGAGCTAAATACACAGGAAATATTAAAATGACACCAACCCAGCGGAAAAAAAAGAAACCTTTTTTCTTTTTTTTTTTGCCCGTAGTAAGTACATTTTGAGAAGTCTTAGAGAATTTAGAAAGTCACAAAAAAGTGGATATATTTTTGCTGTTAAAAAATGTTCCCAAACCTCTTTTGCTAATCAGTTGCAACACTCAAGGTTATAGGAGGCATAAACCATAAAGATCCAAAAGAATATGTGTAGATCTCTAAATTACAGAACGCCGTATCTCTCGCAAAAGTGCTTCCCTTGACAATTGTCTGTCAGTAATAGCTTGAAAAAAAAAAAATTGATGCGTGGGAAGAAACTATACCCTTGAGTGAGTTCTGTTTCAGTAACTAGGTATTCATACATACACATACTAGGGCCAATTTAGAACAGGATCCAATTCACCTACCAGCATGTCTTTGGAGTGTGGGAGGGAAACCGGAGTACCCGGAGAAAACCCATGCAGGCACAGGGAGAACATGCAAACTCCAGGCAGGTGATGCCGTGGTTGGGATTCAAACCAACAACCCTAGTACTTCCAGGAGGTAGTGCTAACCATATGTCTCATCTCTGTAACTGATACATACTGCTGGAGAGCTTGTTCTTTTGAAAAAAAACAAACTTACTGGCTGGATCATCAGGTTAAAATAAGGGAAAGAACTCCTAAAAAGAAAACAAATGCAGCTATCACATCTAAGAATTGGTAAGCTGTAATGTTTTGATTGTTTGCTTTGAGGTTGCTTTAATAAGTTAATATCATTTCAAAAGCTTTTTTTTAAAATCTGCACCACTCATTAAAAGAACAGCATTATTAGTTATTAGTGATAAGAAGTAAAGTGATATTGTTACAAGGTATATTAAGTGTATTCTTCGACCTTGCTCAAAAGGTGGAAATGTCTGTGAATTGACATGATATTGTGTGATTTCCCCTCATAGAGATGCAGAGATGCAGCTGTCCTGGCTGGGAGCCGAACGACGTGCTACTATTACAGTTTCTACCACTAGAAAAAACAAATGTGCCCTCTTTTGCTCATTTGTGAGAAAGTGTGACCTCATCAGAAGCTCCTCCATTGTAACAGGTCAAAGGGGAAAAAAAACTGTGAAAATGTGTCATCCTTGGGCTCCTGGGATGGTGTGTGTGTGAAAACATATGGCCATGGCCGTCTGGTGCCTGCTGGTTGTCAGAAAGACATTTCAATGCTGATTTCTATTTATAATCCATACAGTTCTTCTTGTTTGCCTTATTGTTGACAATGAGTTGCTACTTTCAGTGCTAGGTGGGAAAAAATGGGTTTTTGTACCCCAAATCAGCTTTTAACAGCACTAGCGGTCTGATTATGTCCATATTTCTGTGCTCAAAGCGGTACTTTTTTTGCATGGAAATATGTAGTTTTTTTATTGTAAGTCTGTAATTTTTAGGAATAACTCACTGAAATCTGTCTGAACAAGAGACTAGTAAACATTCCGGGTATGATAAAATTTGAAACACGAAATCATAAATTATAATTTAATAAATAATCATAAAAAATAATAATATAATAATAATAAATTTAATTCAATAATATAATCAAACCAAAAACACTGAAATTTGAAATATAGCGCCAAGTTCGCACATCACTGAGCAAAGTCACAAAATCGTTTTCAGTGTCTGATGAGGAATTTCCCCCACGAATCATTATCACTCAATTCTGCAAGTGGTTCTGATTTACTATCGCTGTTCTCTAGCCGGTCTAAAACCGATTTTGACCTAAAGGGACACTTTTTGGACGCCATGGACGTTTCTCGGTTTCCAGGCAGAAAGAACAGACAAAATGCAGGCAGGGCGCCGGACAAAGCACTCGGGACAAAATGTATGTGAAATGGTTTGATACAGGAATGTTATACTATGTGATTTTAGTGTATTTAGTGAATGTCACTTTTGGTCATTTTCAAATTTCCCGCCGTTCCGTTCCCCATGCGTCCCGACGCTTGCAGGGGACGGAACCTAGGTGACAGATGCCGGCATCCGCTGGATTACATTGCCGGGGACACTGCAGGGGGGACATCGCGGGAGCGCAGGACAAGGTAAAGTGAAGAACAGATGCCGGAGCAGCGCTGCATGGTAAGCCCGAGTGTAGCTCGGGTTACCGCTTTTGGTACTGAAACTTTACCCCGAGCTACACTCGGGAATACCTCCAGGGAGGCTACCAGCACTACCTGACTTTGGTGGTCATTCATTGGGTGACAGGTTTGGCTTACCAATTAACCTTTTGGTGCCTTCAATAGGGATTGGAGATAAACTCTGATTTTCTGAGAAATTGGAGACATTTTTAGACAACTGCATAGGATTGAAGGCGTTATTTTTTGCAATGAATTGCTGCTCTCTGTGCTGTTTGGGAAAAATAGCTTCCACAGGGTAATGTTTTTAGGTGGAATGAGGGTTTGTACCCCTAATCAGCTTTAAACAGCATTACCCAACCCTGGTCGTCACCCATTGGGTGAAAGGTTTTGCTTACCAGTTGACCTTTTGGAGTCTCCAATAGGGATTGGAGATAAACTCTGATTTTCTGAGAAATTGGAGACATTTTTAGACAAATGCATAGGATTAAAGGCCTTATTTTGGCAATGAATTGCTGCTCTCTGTGCTGTTTTGGGAAAAATGTGTTCTACAAGGCAATTTTTTAAGTTGGGATGAGGGTTTGTGCCCCTATCAGTTTTTAGCAGCATTACCCGAACCTGGCATTCACCTAATGGGTG